CGAGTGGTTCGATAATGATTGACGGCCAAGACCTGCGCTCAGTGACGCAAGCTAGTCTACGAGATGCCATGGGCGTCGTACCTCAAGATCCGGTTTTGTTCAATCAAAGCATACGACAAAACATCCGCTACGCCAAACTCGATGCCACCGATGCCGAAATAGAAGATGCATGCCGAGCTGCCGCCATTCACGACGACATTGTCAGCTTCCCCGATGGTTACAACTCCAAGGTGGGTGAGCGCGGGGTACGGTTGTCAGGCGGCCAACTCCAACGCATAGCCATTGCCCGCGTGCTCCTGCAGAACCCTAAAATCGTCTTGCTGGATGAAGCAACGTCAGCAATTGACTCTTCGATCGAAGCACTGATCCAGCAGGCTTTCCGCAAACTAAGTCAAGGCCGCACCACATTTGTAATTGCACACAGACTCAGTACGATTGCAGACGCCGATCAGATTTTGGTGGTAGAAAAGGGCGAAATCATCGAAAGAGGCACACATCAGAGCCTGCTGAAGAATGAGGAAGGAAAGTACTCAGAGCTGTGGAGGAAGCAGACGGCGGGGCATCTGTTAAAGGAATCGGAAGCCACGGATGTGAAGGAGGGTGAGAACCAGGAGGGAGGCGTAGTCGTTGGTGATACGACGATTCAGGGAGAAGACCAGGCAACCACTTCTGCGACGAAGAGTGATAATTCCGGTGAAGATAACAGCGTACGACGCAAATAAGCGTTAATAGAATAGAGGTGATATCATGTTGCGTGTAACAAGCTTATTAGACATTCGGCTTTCAATTCACGAAAAAGAGAAGCCTGTAAGATAACGAAATAGAGAGAAGAAGAAAAAAAAAGGCCACAAATCCCAAGATCATGATCCTGTTTTGCGCACACGTATCAACCCCTGTGGAAAAAAAACAAAAAGGTTGCAAGGAAACCTCCGACGACGTACTACTACTATTGTTCTTTTTTTTCTCGTCCGCGGAGACGCAAAACACACGCACACATTATTTTGTGGTTGCCTAGAATTCAGGCAATCCATCCCGATCTTTCATCCACAAAAAAAAACGCCGCCGTCTTACCCGTCTACGATAGTCTGCTGAGTCGGGACAACAATTCAACGCAAGGAGCGCCCCTCACCAAGCCTCTTCGCACCTCACAGCGCAGTCGGGACGACTATCCTCCGACGCACGGGCCTCCCATGCGCGCGATTGGCGCTGAAACGAGCATTGTGTGAGCTGTTTTGTGGCGCAGAGGGGTGGGAGAGGCGTACGTATGTGTGTGTGATATGGATGGGGGAGGGGATGTTTATACAAGGACCCCTTTCTTCCTCCTCTTTCTCTCTCTCTCTCTCCATCTCCAGTATATGCTTGTATTTGTTCCTCGTGCTGGAGTAGACACGGACGACTGGGTGCGGCTGATTGAAAAAGTCGGCTACGTCACGAAAAAACGAACGAACGAGCGGAACTGGCAACTAACCCTTTTTTTCGCGCTAAGGGACAGTGTTTAAGACCCGTGGTTTGGAGTTGCTGCCTTGAACGGGCCAGATCGACGCTTCGCGGAACTACCAAGGGGGGGCATCGAAATCCAGGGTTTTCTGTCTTCTGCACGACTGCCTACGCGATTTACATTCGCTTCTGAGCAATATTGCTGTTGTTCTAGACGGCGGGTTCATTATGGCGGTGCCGAAACGCGTGTTGCTGCTTACTTCGGCAGCGTATGCGGGTTTCCGAGCGCGGTATGGTGTTGGATTCACGCCGTTTGCAGCGCAGAGTTATGTCAAGAATACGCTTGGGGTCTATGTTTTTTTATTCATTGCGCAGCTTCTCTGGGGGGTATTTGTGTATCCGTTGTTTTTGACGCCGTTGAGGAAGTTGCCGACGCCTGAGGTGAGTACTTTTCTTTCTTTCTTTCTTTTTTGAATTGTTTCTCTATTTGTTTGCGGAGGCAGAGGATAAACATGGAATATCGCATGCTGATATAGATTTGTGTGATAGGACGGGCACTTTCTTCTTGGGCACTATGCTAGGATTTTCAAGGAGCCAACGGGTGAGCCGCAGAGATATTGGATCGATACTGTGCCGAACGATGGTGTCATCTACTATCGTTTCTTGTTCAATGACCCCAGGGTTTTGATTACGACTCCAAAGGCGCTGGGCGAGGTCTTGGCGCAAAGGAGTTATGATTTTATCAAGCCTACTAGGGTGAGGGTTGGGCTGGGCAGAGTGCTTGGTGTTGGGGTTCTGCTGGCAGAGGGGGACGAGCACAAGGTATGTACTCTCCAATGGACGCCTGAATAACAGTTGTGCCGCTTCAGCGCTTCGAAGACTAATCCTGAATCCATATAGCGTCAAAGGAAGCTCCTCATGCCTGCATTCAACTTCCGCCACGTCAAGGACCTGTATCCGATTTTCTGGGGCAAATCCCAGGAGATGGTGAACCAAATCTCCGAGACAATCAAGAAAGATCCTAGTGGGTCTTCAGTCGTTGAAATCGGATCCTGGGGTTCCCGTGCAACACTCGACATCATCGGTGTGGCTGGTTGTGGTAAAGACTTCGACGCCCTTGTGAATCCTGACAACGAACTCTACGAAACATATCGGCAAATCTTCGCCAGCGGCCGCGGCGCTCAGATTGTTCAGATTATCCTCGGCATGATTCCGTACAAGATCGCCATCAACTTGCCACTCAAGCGAAACGACGAGATTGGAAACGCGGTCCGTACCGTCAAAAGTGTAGCCAGAGATCTTATCCGATCCAAGCGTGCCAAATTAGAAAGCGGCGAAGCAAAGGGCCTGGACATCCTCAGTGTAGCTATGGAATCCGGTGGCTTCAGCGACGAAGATCTGGTGAACCAACTCATGACGTTCCTAGCCGCAGGTCACGAAACCACCGCCTCAGCCCTATCATGGGCCGTCTACGTCCTTTGCAAATACCCCGACGTGCAAAAAAGACTACGAAGCGAAATCCACGAACAAATACCCTCAGCACTTGAAGACGGCGGCCAAGTCTCATCGACAGAAATCGATCATCTGCCGTATTTGAACGCAGTGCTGCAAGAGACTATGCGTGTCTTCCCATCCGTACCACTTACCCTGCGCGAAGCAGCACACGACACAACCATCCAAGGGCACTTTGTCCCCGCCGGCACCACTGTCGTCATTTGCCCCTGGGCCGTCAACACATCCACCCAGCTCTGGGGCCCGGACGCCCGCGAATTCAATCCTGACCGCTGGATGCAGCCTGGTACCGCCAACACGGGTGGCGCAGAGAGCAACTACGCCATCACTACTTTCTTGCATGGTCCCAGGAGTTGCATTGGTAGAGACTTTGCCAAAGCAGAGTTCGCGTGCCTAGTCGCGGCTTTGGTGGGTAGGTTCGAGTTTGAGTTTGAAGACCCAGAGTACAAGTTGGAGATTCAGGGCGGGATTACGTCGAAGCCCAAAGGTGGGCTGAGGATTAGGTTGAGGGATGTTAGAGCGTGAAGGATTTAGTGGGTAGGTGGGGAGAAGGATTGGAGAACGTTTTTGTGAGGCGGATATCCTTTACAGTTTTATGTCGTCGTGCATCTGAGGAGTGTCAGTAATGTTTACCTTTCCTAGATGAATTGCATAACTTTTATTTAAACTTTTTTTCTTTTGGAAGCGAGCTGTTTTTTTTTCAGCTGAGCCTCGAATAAAAGGCCCGAATGACTGGCAAAGCAGCACCCAGATTTCCGAGAAAGAGACTCGTTTTCAGAATATGAATTGATTTCCATACTAGGGTTTCGGTTCTGACACAGCTCAAGGATTACCAGCAGAGTCTCACACAAGGTTAAACATCTCTAGCTTAACCTAGAAATTGCACAGTGGCTTTAAGGTAACTTTAACTCGGGGAATTCGCTTTAAGCATCACGTATGTGGCAAGCGAGCGGCATACACTGACCCCGCCAACAGTAGCCATTTAGCGTTCACCACGACGCTTGTGTAACATCGAAGCTTGGATTGGGGCAGAATGGAAGATTCAATTACCCGGGCAAGGTGCATGGTTGCTGCAAAAAGATCATCATGTCGTCAGAATCAAAAAGACAAGGCGTTGAAAGTTACCCATCGACTCCTCCCAAACATCTATCTCATAAGATTATTAGAACATCTCATCAATCCCTCTCAGTCCATCTTGAAAGAGGTTTTCTGTCCCCTTTACTCCCTCTTGTACTCAGATCTCCACTTTCCCCTATGGCCACGCAACAAAACCATGTGGATGGCACACCCAACGACTGTGCCATGTGCCTGTCAAAGGGTGAATTACGCTGCACCAGGTGCCAGAGCATCAGTTACTGTTCTAAAAGATGTCAAAAAGCCGACTCACAATGCCACCAACTTCTCTGCACCAAGTTCACTCAGCAAAGCGCCCGGCCCTCCCCACAACATCGCCTCGGCCTCGAATTCCCAGACTCTGGTGCTGGGCCACGTTTCATTTGGATACACTGTGAAGCGAAATATGACGAAGATGAAGAGACTGTATACCAAGTCCCACATGTGAAGCCTTACTTCGAACATGCATCGGGTTCCTCATATCCAATGCCGCGCCTCATACGACGGAACTTGAGGCTCGATCGATCCCTACGCGACGCCATCGAGATCACAAGTCGAGATGCATTCCTTTTGGATGGGTCGGTACACAATCCAGCTGTGTACATGGCTGCATCTTTTGGAGGCGTAGGAGATGTGCCAGTGAACTGGATGGGGCCTATCGTTGTGTTGAGAGTAAAAGGCTGCAGTATTGATCCAAACGAGTATTTAGACATCACCATGGATGACTTCCGATGCGTCATGGACTACTTTTGTAATATTCGTGATTGATCACACTCGAGGAACGTTGGCTGGTACGGCAATGCGAAAGACTATGATGGGAAATCCCAAGCTTAGAATAGGAGGAGGGTGATTTGGAATGTGATAAGTTGGCTTTCCGTTCAGCACAAGACTAATAGAGCCCAGACAATATGCATGGAGCCGTTGCGCTTCTCATGCAGAACTCTTATATGTGGGCAAGGCGTTAGGACTAAGAGGAGGACATGATGTGCAGATAGTAATATTGAAAGCTTGCGCTGGGCTCTTTTACAACGTGACTACTCACTTTTTTTTTGTCTACACTATCAACTCTAAAGCGCAATTCACCACGGAGACGTTTATCAATCACATCGAGTTCGTCGTACGGAAATCTCACCATCTCATCTTGGCACGTGTCTGGCTTTTCAAGTAGCTTCTCGCAGAGAGATCTAGCATTACTGGAGTCGTAAGCCGAGAGTGGCTGGTGCCGTTCAGGGGCGTTCTAATGCTGTCGAAGCATTGCATGGTCGCCCGCATCTTCGAGGCTGCGATCCGTTCACTTACTGCAGCACGACATCGATGTCACCGGATCAACTTTTCATAGACTTTCAACTTTCTAGAATGCCCTTATAGGTCCAACATTCCATGTAGTGTGCAAGACCGGAAGTCAGTTCTGCAAGCGAGTATTAGTAGCGTAGGTGCCAAACAGCAAATCATCAAGAACCCAGATCTATTTATTTTTTTTCAATTTTCCAAATATTCTATAAAAAAAACTTGAACTCGAGCGTGCCAGGCTACACAAAACCCCTAGATGCAAACCAAAACACTAAAGGAGCGTCTTTTCCATAATCTCCTCCTTCTCAATTCTCCCAGCCAAAAAAAAAGACAAAAGAAAAGCATAGCCCAGATCTCAGTACCTTCGAACCCAGATACATTTCTCTAAGCACAGTAATCAGGGTTTCCAGCTCCACCATCAACACATCGTCCACAAGGCACGCGCCCATTAATCCACACCAGCGTATCGCCCGCACTGCCGCACTTGAAGAGCGACTTGTCGATTTGGTTGATGGAGGGGTACTGGCCGTCGTTGTAGGTGCTGCGGAGGCACTTGCTTTGGATTTCGTTGTTTGTCCAGCCTGATTTATTGGTGTGGTTGTTAGTTTGGAAAGGTTGGGAAGGAGAAGGGGGAAGATGTACCGCGGGAGGCCTTGAGCGTTTTGCCGCAGTAGAGTTGGTGGGTATTGCAGTTTGAGGCTGAGGTGGTGAGGGCCAGGGCGGCGAAGGCGAGGAGGGGCTTTATGGAGAGCATATTTGGCGTATGGAGTATTGGTTGGAGAGTGAGGTAGGTGAGTTTGAAGGCGTAGGAAGTGGATGCTGGGATGATGAGTTGATGATGTTTTATGTTTCTGAAGCTGCGATGATAGCTTTATACTTTCTCTCTCTTTCTCTCTCTTTTGATTTTTTGGGTTCTTTCATCTTTGCAGCTGAGGTCACCGGTACCGTGTGATGCTGGTGTTGCTACGGGATTCACAGGGTGTTCAGCTGCGGGTAATACATCGCCGCTGGCTGTGAAGTTGCGGTCTCATGAATGTAACTTTTTTAAGGAAGTTGAAATTGAAAGAGCGGGTCAAGAGTTATTGGAGTTACATTGCGCGTAAGAAGGATTTAGCAATGGAGCGGTCACTGTACCAGCTGAAGGAACTAAGCGAGCGTTGCGGTAAGGAAATACATGAGCGGTTATTTTGGTCGGCTGAGACAAGCTTTCTCGTTCCCCACATTCCATTTTTACCAGGTTACAGCTCTTGTTTATTTTTGCTAAAATCATGCGAATTTCTTACATCATGCCACTTTTGTATTGCAAACATTCCCAATCGGTCTAGGGCGATCAACTACATTACCAGTATCTGCCCTGATATAAAACATGGACTCTTGATTTTGTTTTCTATATCATTCTAATTCCTTAGCAATGTAACATACAATTGATTGTTCACGCCGGTCTTTTCAAAAGAAGCAGTTCTTTTCATCTACTCACAATTGAGTTATTCTATCCTCATTGTTCTTTGGACACCCTGAAAGGGGCTATGCACCCTACGGAAATAAAAACAAACCCCCCGCATCCTCGATATGATACTTGCAAGGAGAAAAAATCTTTCTTTGAGATGTATCAAAGCTGAAGGTGAAGTACCAAATTCTCCTATATATACACAAAGCATATCCATCACCGCACCTCCTATCCACGATCATCACAATCTGTCCCCAGAAGATCCTACACATAATTCTCTCCACTCACAACTCATCCTTACCACCGTTCCACCCATCCCCTACACCCCTCATCCACTGCACACCCACCAACTTCAAACTCTTCTTCGCCACCAACTCCTCAGCCCTAAAGCTCCTTCGCTCCACGAACTCCTCTCCCCCAATCTCCGCCCTTTCCATGGTCTCACCCTCCTTCTCCTCAAAAAGCAGGAATAAATAGCGATGCGGGCCACTCTCGTCCTTGGGCCCAGGCGCAAGATATTGCGTCAACGTCTTCCCTTTTGAGGTAATATCATCTGTTGGGGAAACGGTCGAAGGAATGGAAGTGATGACCCAATGGCGCCAGTAAGCAAATTTCGGGTCGTCGGGCGTGGGCGCATCAGGATCAATCATCATGAAAGCATATGTTGATGCAGAGGATGAGGAGTTTGATGTTGAAGAGATGGAGACGACGGGCTGCTCTGCAATCTGGCTGACGCGCGCGAGGCTTCCCCTTTCGGGGGCAAGGCCGGATGGGAATTTGACGGATAGCTGGATAGTGGGGGTGAAGGAGTCTGGGATGATGGATGAAGGGAGGAGATTTGCGCTCTTGAGCGCGTCGACGAGGGAAGTAGTAGTCATGGTGATGAGTTTTGATTCAAACACTTCTTTAACTGGGATTTGAATTTCTACTGGGGAGAAATGGACAAGTTGTATTTATGACTTTGACGTGGTGGTAGAAGGGATTTTGATGCGTGATTGAGGCGGGAACGTGTGATTGGTGGATAAACCTCAGTTTTGCTTGGTACTCCGCTGAGTTGTCCACTTCTGCTTGGCGTTCACTCAGAAGGGCAAAGGTTCGGTATAAGATGAGTAACAGCGAGGTGGGGGTGAAGAGTATATGTATCCTGAAGATTTGGGCTTTCACACGTTACGCCGTGAAGAAATATGAGATGACTATGCGGCAATTTTCATTGACAAGAGTAGGACTTGAGCAAGCTTTGGACAAGGACCAGCATAAGAAATGATATCCTGGCGGTAAACATTGTGCCGTACTACTCTTGTTAAACATCACTCATAGCGACATATGGCGTGAGACTAATTCGACACTGCAAGTTGCTGACACCGAGGAATCGTTTCCTAGACACCTTCATTCAGATCACTTGATAACCTACAACTGGAGATCTGCGTCCTCTGAAACCTCTACCACTAGAATCGAAAGCGCCGAGACCTACCCTGATGATTCGATGCCTTAAAAGAAAGAGAAGAGTTGCGAATAAGTGATTGACTTCAAGTCACTATCACGAAATGAACAAGTAGCATCATGTCGATGAGCTGGCGAAAAGCGAATGCCGAGACAGTATCTACCAGTCAGTTCTATACGGAGTCATCAAATATGGAGGTCACATGCATAACGTTGTGGGACAAGATTTGGGAATGCTCTTCAGCTTGGCTATACGCCGAAACTATTCCAATACATTTGTCAAGGGCATATCGCATAATGCACTACATATGTTAAATCGAAAGCGCGTACAGACTACTCATAACGCTACATGCAAACATCATACTTACTCTATTAGCATCAGCGTCATCACTTACTCAAATCAACAGAGCACATCACGCTGCCCTAGATATAGCCTTACATGTCATCCGACCAGCTACATGGTTTTCGTAGAGTCTCTCGAACAAGAGCATGAAACAAGTCGCTGGACCAAAACAACATCAATCCAGCAAGGCAGTCACTCGTAAGCACAAGCATGCATTCACCCTCCTCGCCCCCCTATCTCACTCCCCAACATCCACAGCCCCCTGAGCTGAGACCCGCCATCTCCCAGCCACTCAACAAAATCTCGTACACCCAACCTCGCGCTGCTCGTGACGCGTATCTGAGACCGTGCTGTGTAGGATGTCGTTATACCCGTCTGGCAGAAAATCTCGTTGTAATTGGGTGCAACCCAGGTACCCAAGCCCACAAGAGTCGTGCGCATAAAGACAGGATACTATTTCAAGAAGCAAGCGAATCGGGTGTTGGGGGCCAGATATACGGCTGGCGCCCACAACATCAGACGAGCACCCTATATTCTCGTTCCTGTATCAGGCCCCTCCCCTCCTTTGCACAGGGGTATGTGTGTGTGTGTGTGTGTGTGTGTGTGTGTGTGTGTGTGTGTGTGTGTGTNTGTGTGTGTGTGTGTGTGTGTGTGTGTGTGTGTGTGTGTGTGTGTGTGTGTATGAGAGAGAGAGAGTGCGCACATGACGTCTGATTACCAAGATACCCGATACATGGCATGAAAAACGATCAAGCCACACGGTAATCAAGTAAGTGGAGGCTTAGCCCCCTCCCCCGATGCTGCGCCTCAAACCCACCACACACAAACACAAGCAATCAAGCCCAAGCACACAACACACGCTGCACGCAATACACACACCCCCCACAAACACCGGACCACCGAACACGCTCTCTTCCCACCCAACCTAACCCAACCGCCCCCCTCCCTCTTCGTAACGGCCCAATCGCACGCGCCCTTTCTGCCACGTACCTGATCCAGGCACAGCCCTGCAACACCCAACCTCCCCCCCACCATCTCACCTCGGGAAGCTACCAACGACCCCATCAGCTAAGGAAAACCCTTTTGGTGTGTGTGGGCATCATTCGCATTTCTCACCCTCCCTCGCCCCCCCAAAGTCCCTATTCCTAGTAACCAAGTAGTAAACTAGCGAACGAGAGAGAAGAAAAAAAATCTAGCGGCCCATTGGGCAGGGCTGCCTTCTTACTAAACCAGGCCGTAGTATTATAAACGGGTGTGTGTGTGTGTGTGTGTGTTTGCGAAGCTTAGGCCAGGAACCCCAGGCCTAGCTAGTACAGACAAGACAGACAGACACACACGCCATGGTAGAGTAACACACACGCACGGGCGTTGCGCGCGTGTGTGTAGGAAAAACGGGATACGACACGCTGGCACTCAGACACACACACGCACACATATGTACGCACCTCAACTCAACGGTATTCGGGCAACCCCGGACTTGGGTCATCGGGCGTGTCTCGAACGATAGGAAGGACGGTGTAACCGATGAGAAGGGACAAAAAAATTGGGTCGTTCAATATTCTGGGTGGGTTTGCCCGTGGATGATGACCGGAGTGTGGGGAGAGGCAGAGAGAGAGAGAGCAAGGGTTGAGTAAGGTGAGTATGGGTGCTAGTCAGGGTAAGGTGGTGGGTTGGGTATGGAAACAGTTGGGTGAGATCACGATAGGGTAGTTTTATTCGTTTCTGTTTCCCTGTTTCATCTTTCGGGTGGCGGGTAAAAAGCGGCGGCTGGATCATTCTTTTTTTTGGGGGGGGGAGGGGACGGGGAAGGGAAGGGAAAGAGAAGAGAGTTAGGGTTCGACGATCACGCCGGAGAAAGGGTGGACACGCTGGCAACTGGCTTTGGAACAAAGCAAGTAAAGGGGGTTGAACAGAGCGTGTGGTAATCCAAAGCGACCCTGGTTAAGTGCGGGGAGATGAGTTGGCATGTTTGCTTGCGCAATGCTCTCTGTTCTGATGGATGAAACGGCAGGGTCGGAGACGCCCGACACGGGGGGAGGGCGATCGAGACCGTCGGAGTTGCGGGTGCGAGCTGTGGGGAGACCGCCGATGGTCTTTTGGCTCAGGTACTGTATGTACATGTGTATGTATGTAGTTAGTTAATTTACTGGGGCCCAGAAGGAAATAACTACCACACAAAGTTTCGACCGGTGAGGCTTGCGAAATGCATCATGCATGTATGCTGCACCTCTGGCATGCAGGCCCTCTTTGTTTTCGCATTCGCCCATTTTTTTTTAGCCGCATCAAAAAGTGTGGGAACCTGTCAAACCCACAATCGGATGGGTCGGTCAAACTCCACAAAAACCACAGAATCTTACGCACAACATTGCCGACTTGGAACCCAGGGCTGGACTCGCGGCTTTTCGTTGAGATATTGGAAACTTTGCCTTGGGCTTGGGCTGCGGGTGGGCCCACTTTACAAACCACCCGGGAGCTGTGTATACAGTAGTTAACTTGGCTAGTGGGTATAATGTTAGTCAGGCTTTTGGGCCCGGGGGTTGGGCCGCCGGTGGAGAGAGCGAGAGAGAGAGGGAGTTTGCTGACTTGGACACCACCCAAGGACCGCGTCTGGCATACCCTCGGTTGTTTTGGCGATGTGCGCCTGGAATATCCTAGACGGGGTGCAGATGGTAGTGCGCAATCGAATGACAGCTGTCCATGCACAATTTCAGTGGAGCCCAATTGTTCTGGAATCACCATCTGAATATCGATCAGTGCCAGATTGCAATCTAGATGTTGAGGGCGGGGGGGTTTGCGCGTAGCCCGATTGCGAAACGCTGCTCCCCCCGATTTCTCTTGTTCTCTTGCTCGTTTGATGTTCCTCTGTCGCTCCAAGTGTTGCCGCACGCGACGGTAACTCTGCATTGTATACACGGCACCCGATATACCCATTCAGCTATTACATACCCACTCCGTCCTCTGACGTATGTGTGATGCCGGTAATAGCAGGCGTAATAATCGTCGGTCTTTTTCGCGGTGGACGCGTATACGAACGGGGTCGATCTCCGTAACGTGGGTTGAGGAAAACGGACACCTATCTCCTTTCATGCCCTCCTAAAAAAAAAGTGAGGCTCCTGATTTGCGCGTTGCCAATAATTAATGCAAACCATGCTTGTCCGTTTTTGAGGCCACGGCACATTCACACTGCGCATTCTTGCCACTCTCGCCCTATGTGACTCTGGCAGTACGTACCCCGCAACACCAACACCATTCTGCCATCATCGTCATTATCGCCATTGACCCCCCAATTTCAGGCTCTACGTAGCAAATCAGCTATGCAGCATTGGATTCTATATCGCATAGCCATGTTGTTTCGGATTCAAACTCGTTGGCCACGAGACTCGAAGCTGACATGCGTACTGCAGTGTTGGTGGTAGTACAGTACTGGATCTGGTACCGGTTGCCAACTTTTGGGAGCCGGAGACCCTGACGTCTGCCTTGCCCCGCATCACCAATCCTTCGACGCCATATCCTTACCCTCGACAAGGCTCTTCAGCAAGCAAAGACGTCATGGCGGCACGCTCAAGACTCGGCTGAAGCTGGTGATGATGTCGTATCTTTGCCTCTGCGCCTTGGGGCCATGGAGCCAACCATGCCGGACTCTTTACGCAGCACTCGATCGCTCCACAAACGACACCACGCTTTGCGAAGAAGCGCATTCAGCCCTTTTGCACGAGGGTCTGCGTGCAGTAGCTAGCGGGTGTGCGCGCACCCTCTGCAGGTCTTGGTATACCGGTGTGTCCAAGAAGGGTAGCGCAGAATCACCATGGCCGACAAAAGGCACCTCCGATGATGGAGAGGGTGTCAAGCCACGGGGCAGAAAACGGCAGGGTCTTTGAGCAAACCTGTTCACAGGTCGTATCGGCGCCGGCGATCAATATATTCCTGGCCACATGATAGTAGCATGGGTAGCGATAAGACAAGGGGTGTCGTTGTGCCATTGGCCATGTGTGAGTCGAAGCAAAGGAAACAGCCTTCGCCTACGTACAGAGGGAGCAGCCGAGGTGTGGTGGACGTGATAGCGTGCCAGTTTGCCCATGTTTGAGTGTGTCGAGGGTCTCAGTAGATGGATGCTTGGTGCAGCGTAATCTCCCCATGGCACGCACATTCTGCCATTTTGCTGCGGGCCAGCTCCACTCTGCAATCCCTCCACGGTGCACTCAATGCCCCCCCAAGAGCCGTCCGTCATTCATCATCTGTACTATCCTTAGTAATCCGTGGCAAAAAGTCACCTTAGAATGGCAGGAAATGATGTGAAGCGTCGAACGATGTTGTTCCATTAATAGCTATCTAAAATAGTACATGTGTCAAAGTCCCCAAACCCCGCCCTTCAGCGTCATCTAGGCGTTTCCATCGCATCATTCCAGGGTCCATCAACCCCCCTTGCATTAATCCATTACCCTCAACACCGTAAAGGTGGAGGCATCTTCCTCCCCGATGGTACATTCCACTCCTCCCTCGCCGTCCCAGCCAGCATGTGTGCAAGCAACGCAAAAAACAAGGCGTGCAAAAACATGAGGAATCGGTCTGTGGTGGTAGTGCGGACTGGCGCGGAGCTTTTGCAGCTTCCGCCCGTCTCACACGCGCGTGGAAGTAGAGCACGTAGCGGCGGGCGCTAGGCTCTTAGTAAGAGACTGATGGCGTAATAAGTCGTATCAATCATGACATGGTATTTCGTAAAAGCGCAAAGAGAATGCTTAGGTCATCATTCATCGGTAGTAGCCAGACGAGCGCTGCTCGCGGATGTCCCGGTTGGTTGGCTCGCGGACTTCAACGGCGTAGTGCTTTGCGTTGCGGCGTTGCTTGGCCAGGTCCTCCTCGTAGAGGGAACCGCGCTTGGAGTTTGGGGTGTTGCTGATCTCAGACAGTGGACGCTTGGCCTTGGTAGTGGTGACGGTGTGTTGAGGCCAGTCAACAATGTCGTCGGTTCGTGGTCGAGCAGACTTGATCTTGGGCTGCTCTTGCTCGACCTTGACAGTGTTGCTTCGTCGTGGGGGAGAGGCGGGTGGTGGTGATGATCGGGGAGCGACGTAGTAGCTGCGGTCCATGGAGACAAAGGGCCTGCGTGATCGGTGGCGGAGGCTACGCTCAATGGCCTTGAGGAGGCTGCAGACTTCAACGTAACCGGCTGGGATCTCGACGCGGACAAGCTTGTTGTTCTCCTCCATGGTGGAGTAGGTGGCTCCCGACTTGTGGTAGATGTAGCGGGCGACGTCCTGGGCCAGGCCGTGGCCAACGTCACAGAGACGCTCGTGGTTGCGGTGGACTTCGTAGGCGTTGTGGCAGTGAGCACACTTCCTGGCGTGCATCTCAAAGTGGTAGGCAGCCCAGCTCTCGGAAGTGTTTACAGGACGGCAGAATGAGATGACGGGGTCTTCGTAGAAGCCAACCACGCGTTCCTTCTTGGCCACGGCGGGCTTTGCGTGGACGGCCGTAGGCATGTTTGTGCGTGCAGACGGCATTGCCGGGGAGGATGTTGGCGGCTTCTTGAGTATGGACCTTGGGGTAGCCGTGGTGACGTTTGTGCCAAGGTACGATATGGTAGCGATGAAGTCACTCTCGGGCGAGAGCGACAGTGGAATGTTGGTGTTGTGTTGTTGGCGTGGTAGACTCGACTGGCGAGCACAGATGGTAGACGGCTGAACGGATCAGAGTGCGGGTGGGTTATTGTTGGTAGTAGGCTTGGTATGAGGAGCCATGGTGGGCGCGGGCGGCATGGAATTATATGTCTATCCTCGCTCGCAGTAGACGCATGCCTTGGGTGTGGGTGGAAGCCTGAGACTAGCCGGGGTGCCTGCGCCCATCGGACAGGGGTGGTGTTAGCAGCAGCAGCGACCAGGGCCCATGGCGCGCTAGTGAGGGCGGTGACTGCACGTCTGCTTGGGTGCGAAGATGACGACTGTGCCTGTGGTTTCTTGGGAACTGCAGCTAGAAACGTGTTTTGGGCCGACGTTAGAGAAAGTGCAATGTTGCGGGCAGCCGGGCGTGTGATTGGCGGCTTAGTCGCTGTGCGTGGCTGCTGCGAGCAAAGGGGGTCAGCGAAGGGCATCAACAGCCGCTGCACCGTCTCCTGAAACGCGTTGCGGCGAGCAGGGCCGGCAGGGGCAGCCGTTTGGACAGAGGCTCGTCGACTGCTGTTTTTGGACGGTGGGTGGTGGGCGTGGTGGTGTGGTGTGGTGTAGCAGTCGGGCATGGTGGTGACGGGCGTGACAGCTGCGCCCTGTGGCTTGCAGGCCCCAGAGCTGCCTGTTTCTCGAGGCACCAGCCACGGCCGCCAGGCCCGGTTTGGTCTAGCGCTGCGATGGCTGACTGCCGGGGCACAATCACAGCCACAGCCACAGCTACTGCACCTCTGGCCGGCCTGCATCTCAACGCAGCCCTTCCAGCTGTGGCTGTTTGGTTTTGTGCACAGAGGTCGACATGTGCAAGTATGATGCGTACATCCAGCCCTCGCTGCTCGCTCCCTGGCGCGCAGTTGGGCCGAGCTGCCAGCTGCCCGCTGCCCGCTGCCCGCTGCCATGGTGGCCTCACTGTCGCCGCGGTGCTGGTTTTCGCACACCGGACGGGGGCAGCGTGCCTCGAGCGGCCGGCTCATCACCAGCCACGACAGTGCAGGCAAAGGGGAAAAAGCAGGCGTGGCTCCCGCAGTGCCCTTTGCGACAGACGACCAGAGCCGCTCAAGGGCGCGCCGAGATGGAGCCACTGCTGCGTGTCCTGAAGGGAGTCATCAGCACTCGCTGCCATGGCCCAGGTGCGGGCGGGCGACAGCGACGTGCATGGCGCTACGCAGCCTATGGCGCCTCTGGCCTTGCTGGTCTTGTCTCACCGGATGTTGGCTGCCCCACAGTCGAAGACAATTGGGCCCCTGTGCTCCCTCTCGCCCTCCCGGCCTGCTGGCAGCGAGGCAGAGCCAGAGCAGTTCGCCCGTCGGCCCACCCGGACGTGGCACCTAACGACTCTGCCTGTCACTTGTCTCCGTCAGCGACACGAAACAGCAAAAATTCCTCGCGCCCTTCTCATCCAATCATCCCCACTGCCATTTCACCCTCCCTTTTTGCACCCTCGCCCGCACAATTCTGCCACGCGTGACTCCTCACAGTCAAAAGCTGCCCAATTTGGCACGGGCGTAGTTCGTCTGCTTCGCCCTGTGACTCCGTCTTCTCCTTGCTGGTCGGCTCGCCCCGGACCTGAGGCGCAGCGCTCGCAGCACCCGTCCCTCCCATCTCGACCCTGGCCAATCTCTTCGAATCACCACTCTCTATACGAGCTCCTAGCTGGCGTTGCAAGCCTCTTGGCGCAGCCATCCACCCACAATACCCGTTGACAGATGCATGCTAGCGAACTGCGGTCCATGCGAACCGCTGTGCAGCCACACAATGCAGCTAATCTACACTGCAAAATGCCATCGTGACTTGCTTTCCTCCATCCGCTAGCCCTTTTGCTCTGTAAACACCTTCGCCCACATGTTGGATGCATGCCTGCGGATGGCCATCCATATCCGGCTCCCGAGAGTGACGCCACAGCGTGGCGCCAGCAGAGCCTCCTTACATCCATCAGACGCCCTAGAGTGGACCAAGAACTTCCAACCTCCAGGTCAATGGACTGACATTCGAGGCTGTGTACTTACTTAGCAGGCCGTTTCCGAGCCGTTGTCCCGGCCAAGCCCCTCGGGATAGTGCCTTCTCCAGCTTTCCCCAGATGTTGCATCGTCATGCGGTCCACCAGGCAGATCTGCAGCCTTCCGAGCAGGCAGCCCTATCAAGGTTGCGCAATGGCTAGGCAGCAACTGCGCAATCCCAGCCGAACTGCGAACCATGCCATCTCGACGCGTCTCTGCGCCCTTTGCTATGTACATACCTACGTACATTGCCAATTGCATAGTCGATTGCGCCTGGTTTGATTACTCAGCAAACCCAGGGGCTAGCCAGGAGTGTAGTGTCGGACCAAGTGCAGCTACATACTAGTAACAATGGGTGCCTTTTTTTCAGACCACATCACGTGACGCGCCATATCCACCACCACCATCCCCTTCACTAGGTGTAGGTCCAAGTTTCTACATCAGCGGCTGTGGCGCCACCCGTGCACTTGGTGCCTGTTGAAGTATTCTGCTTTGCCTGCCCTGATTACGTTCACCTGCGCATCCCGCTGTTCTTCGACATGTGTAAGCTGCGGAGCTCCTTTTGTTCACCGGTTGCTTGGCCATCAGCCAAGCTGCTCATCTACTGCAAACATGCAACATCAGTAGTTATCAGTTATCGCTCACCGTTGACCGCAAACCGCTACATCCCCCCTTAACCATGGTTGGGGGCCTTTTGCCGGCGCTGCCTAGGGCGATGCGGGGTTGTAAGGTTACCAGCAGCCCAATAGCACGGCTTGTTTAGTCATGGCACTGCCATGGCTGCGATACGAGATTTCGGTCGCAAAGCAGTCGCAGTCGTTGTACTGTCGCTGTCGAACTGGCGGCGAACACGGAGTGTATTTTCAGCTGTGCTTACCCGTATGGGCCCAGTTGCCACGAGGTCGGTCAGCGGCTGACTACCCCACAATCTGGCGGTCTCACCGTTTCCTCTTCCAGTTGCATCACGTTGCTGGAACCCCGATTGCAATCGACATGCCACGCACTCGGAGATTTGTTTTGCAGATCCCCCAATCGCGGGTCCCAGACTGCGCGCAACGAGCAATATGGCACAACGCCTCCGAAGCCCCTAGCACCTCAACAACCGCGCTCTTTTGCGAGAAAAAGCAGCGCAAATTTACATTCTCAACCTTCATACGTCCAAATCCAATCACTCAAGGCTGAGACACCTGACCGCGCGTTTCAGCGCTCGGTAAGCCTTAGCCTGTTCCTGGGCTAGTTTGCGATCTGTGCTCTCACACCTCACACCGCTTTTCACCGAAACTTTCAGCAGCGACAGATTTTGCTTGAAATACCAGTATTCCCTTCTTCTCCTGAAATCCCTTCAAACCCAACCCAACCGTCCCGGAAAAGAAGAAACATCCCCCAAAAAGAGCAAGGAAATGCCGCCACGAAGCGTCTGTTTGAACGTGTTTACGCACAGTCTTGGCGAAGGCAATGGAGCGGTGAACACCAGAAACCCCATGTTGGAAAGACGAGATAGTGCAATGGGTGGTATGTTTTCCTGCCAAACACCTTCGCACCCTTGGGCGAATGCATTTCATGTTAATATTAACATTTTCTTGCAGACATTCCCAGAAGCACCTCCAACGGCTCTCTCACACCGCAATCCGTTTCAAACTCAACCTCCCCTCCACCAGCCTTCAATCGCACCGATCTCTTCCGCTCTCTGCGCCCCATGGCCAGCACCGAGAGTCTCAATGGCGCGCTGACCAGCAAACGTAAGTTGTTATATCTTCAATCTCCAATTTCCATATGGGTGGGACGCAGGAGCCCGATTTGATTCGCTGCACTGCATTAGCGCCCATGTGGTGCTCCACTTTACCCACTCACATTGGGGCCGCTTTTGAGGCCTAACACCACGACATGATTATATCACCCTTGTACCAGCAACAGTTTACTAATACATGATAGCTTGCACCACATGCTCTGGTCAGCATGCACGACGCCGATGCTCTCGCTGCAAGGCGGCATACTACTGCGACCGCAACTGCCAAAAGTCGGACTGGAAGACGCATCGCAACATCTGCGAGCCCATCACCCAGACTTACTCTGCTCCGGAGACGCCCAACTGCTCCAACCCTGCAAGCCCAACAAACGAAGCTTGATCAAGTGTCACACCAACACACACACACACATTGAGACACTACACCCTCTCAATAGCGACACATCTGGAAACTTTTAGTGAACCGGATGCACCCTACGATGAAGACAATCACCACATGCCCCACGCACGTCTAAAATAAATCAACACCAAAGAAGATGGAGAAAAGACAAGCAACAATCGAATTGCTACGACACTAATGATAGATAACCAACTTGCACATATGGAGGGTCGGAAAATCAGGCGTTTTTGCTAACTGTTTTTTTTTTCTGTTTCTTGTAAAGCCTGTTACTGGGGTTCCCAACGTCACATTCTAGAAAGAGCGACAAAGCATTCAATTGCAACCATGCATAGCGACGAGCGACTAGCGAAAAATATCCGGATTATTATCTTAGCCTTTTTTGTTTTCTTGCCTTTTTACACCCAACCAAAAAAAAATAGAGACCGTTTTTTCCACAACACCACGATACTCTACTCCTGGCTTAGCGCCATATGATTCGGAAAATTTCCCAGCAAACATGCATTCTTGTTTTTTTCTCTTCTCATGTATGTTATGCAACACATGAGACACAACAGCACAGCCACACACGGCTTCCACACCTCAGACCAGACAGAGACATACGAACCAAAAAGGCTACACTGAACAAGGTGTTCACCTTATGCGACATATGCATACCATCTTGCACATCTCCATACCATGTACATGTCACATTTATGCACCCCAGTGGCAACTGACTCAGCACAAGCCCCTGCTTCACCGCTTCTCCACTTCCACCACCACTGCCACCATCTCCCCATCTCTGCGAGACTAGAGTACATCGGCACTGTTATCTAGGTACGTGTCATTTCCACCTTGCCCTTCCGGTCACTTCCCCCCCTCTCCCCCCCCTCTCCCCCCTCTCTCCCCTTCACCCGCATGGTAAAGTAAGTGCATATGCTACGAACTCTAAATCTCAAACCAGCGCATAGCAGGACTGGGGCGCCCTTGGATGGTGTGGGGTGGGTATATGTCAAGAAGTCTTGGGTTGCATTAGCAAAAGCGGCAGAAAAAAAAAAGGGTTGGTTAACCAGTACCATTGTATTGGATTGATTTAGGTACATATGTTACAATATTCGGCGCGTCGCCACATCCATGTCCAATTTTCCCATGTACATATGTATCATGTATGCGCGTGAGACAACGCAAACAGCAAAGTCTAGAGCGTGGTGTGGAGATATATTTTGGCTGCATGATAATGTATCAAAGAGCAAGGGTTCGCGTATGCAGAGCAAGACGAGAGGAGAAAGAGGATATGGCCTTCTGGGCAATGACGGGCAGCGTGTGGCGCGTAGGGAAGCAAGGGGGTGGAGAAGCAGGGTGGGCCAGACGGGGAAAAAAAATGGCGTACATATTGTTAGCTCGGAGAGATAGTGAAATGTCCACTGCGCTGGCAATTATGATTGCTGATAATGATAATGGGCCGCCCGCATATGTACATGTGTGTGTAGTACATATGTATGAGTATAGTGGAAACCGGACACACCTGCATGGGTACATGACTTATTTGAGGGAGGGGGGAGTGTGTGCGCTATCGTGCCCGGTCGCGATCGAAACATCGATGTCGTACTGCAAAAGCAAACGAATCACATACCCAAACCCCACTTATGCTTATATGGCGACGACAGCGCCAAATGGGGCTTCCCCATTGAGTTTGAACGATGTCGGTTGCAACGTCTGGAACACACCCTTGGGACCGTACTTGCTCGAGACCTTGTTTAGTCTTGCCACGCTGTCAGCTCCGTAGCCGGATATAACGGGCTGGTACGGGTTGCTGTATGCCATGTACATGTAATCGTTGTATGCACCCAGCTGCTTGGCTTTTGCTGTCGACGCGGCCAGAAAGTCCTGTGCCGTCTTGTATATGGTCTTGTCATCCTTCTCGTCCGTCCAGGCCAGGTAGAGCAGGATGTCGAAGAAGGGCCCATCGTCCGGGCGCAGAACCAGCGCATTGTCGCCCTTCCTCTGCATGGCCCTCAGCGCGGGCTTGGTAAAAGCTTGGAAGGCCATCGAGGGGGCGCCGCCACCGGGAAACTTAGGAACGATTTCGAGAAAGTGGTTACTCATCCCTTCCATTAGCCCCGTATTGACTTTGAACAATTGCGACCACATTGTTGTGCGTAAGCCAGCCGGCATGCTTTCAGTCAGCCCCAACGTAATCTAGGCCAATGTGGCATTCTTGGTGGCTTCATTAAGAACAGGGATCAAAAGATAGTCGTTGAATATGGCCGGTGGATTCGACACGTCAACCGGATCAAAGCATTCGTCCTCTGCAGATGCAATCCTGTATCCCGAATTGTACGCGACGGCGACAAAGTGCGCGGCCTTTGTATCCACCTCGGCGTTCTGAACCGTGTTTCCAAAAGCGTCGAATAGTGAGGGGATGTGTGTGGCGTTATATTGGCGTTTGCTAAAAAACATGAGACCTTGGGAAAAGGTTTCGTAATTGAAGGTCGTGATGATACCAAAGTTGTTACCGCCGCCTCGGAGAGCCCAGTATAGGTCAGGATACGTTTGTTCGCTGACGGTAATAATGGCTCCAGATGCAGAAACGACCTCGTATGATGCAACGTTGTCGCATGCTAAGTCATACTTGTTAGTGTGGTGACTGATGCCACCACCGAGCGTGAGACCACTGATTCCGACCGTCGAAGCCTGTTGAGGTTGTCAATCACGTGATTGGCTGATATGTTGAGTGACTTACGCGTCCACCGACCACTGCAAAATTATAGGGATCGAGGTAGTCGTAGACGTTCTTCCAGCGGTTACCGGAACCGACAGCAACAGTTTCATTGTCAGCTGATAGCATGAGCTTGTTCATTTTCACCAGATCGACCGTAATACCACCCTCAATACTCAATGCAGGAAACGCAGCATGACCCCCGCTTTTGGTCGCAAATGAACACTGCGTCAGGCGTGAAAGCAAAACTAGAATCGACACTTCCAAGGCTGCTGTTGGAATGAGTGTGCAATGGGGCTTTATACTGAGCTGCTGTTGTGACCAGTACGTTGTCGGCGCTTTTTGTGATAGCTTCGAGTCCCCAAAGACCAAATTCAAGGAATCACACTATCGATCGCGTTAGCCAGCATCTAATACAACATAGGCGAATTGGCTCACGGCGATCGAGCAACCATTCAGCTAAGACCGTTCGACTAAGTTGGATAGCCCTGGTATGGCGGACACATTGAAGCCGTTGTCAATAAGTGCTTTCGTAACGTTGAAATTAGCTGGTTCAAAAATATCCTGAGCAATTGTTGCGACACCACTTGTGGCGAGAGCAATGAGTGTGATCTTGTGGAGATCCCTCGTGGTTACAAATATCAGACGACCGACGACCAAAGTGACTCAAGATGTACATTGAGACCTGGGCTTTGGGATGGAGATAACGGCCTTCGCACACAGGTACCGACTTCATTTGTAAGTATTGCCAGATCTTTGGTATGTTCCATTGCGAGTAAAACCAAGAGGGCAGGTGGTTCAGGGATGGCGCAGCTAGTTTATCAATTCCGTTGCCTTGGCTTAAAAATCATGTTGGTAGGAAAAAGTAGTTCTTCCACTACCTTCGCCTGACGACCTTGAAGCATGTGTAAATGAGATGCACATGTATCGTCCAATCAGGTATCTTCAACTTGCCACACCAGGCGTTAGCAAAGGACTCTGCATGTAAATAGAGCGATCGAAACGCTGCGACCGAAGTGTGCCATTTGGACTAGATTAGATGTAAGATTTAGTTCTGATGGAAATGTATGTCACGACGTGATAAACAGGCTAGGCTCGTTGATTGACTCCAGTTACTTGCACCCCGCCTAGCTAGTTGATAACTGTGGTGCCATCTCGTGGATAGTAGTCATAAAAGTATTCCTGACATTGGCGGTGATTGTTTGCTGCGTGTTTCCTGCTTTGCGTACGGGTGGTTGTGTGCAAGTGAAGGAATGAGGGGCAGATTCTCCTGTTGACGTGGAACAAGAATTTTGACTAGCCACTGCTTAATATGGAGATCACGCGGGCCGCGCGGCTGGTTATCCGGGCTGGGCATCGTGACACCGCTTGCGGTAAGTGCAAAGTGTTTACTTACCGACGTTCCGTAAAAGAGAACAGAGAAGATTGTTCGCGGTATTTGTTGCTACCGTCCCAACGAACTATTTGAGTAAGCAGTGCCATACCAATACTCAATAATTTGTAAAAGCCGACGTGGTATCGAGACATCCAATCAGAAAGAGTATGCAGACTAAGGAATTCGGCCTATCACCATCAGCAAATCAATTGAGATTGCGAACAATAGAAATCGGTGACATACAGATAATTGAATCTTCCAGAACACAACTAGTAGAACCTCTGATCCAAGTAAGGTTTTTGCAATGACTCGTACCCATACCGAGGAGGCTCCTAGGCCTGCAATTCATGCTGTGAAAATGGTTTAGATTCTGAATCATCGATTCGCATGTACTTGACATAGAGCCATGTACATTCATTGCCATAGCCTTCTTTTTTAAATCAAAGCCACCCAGTTTTGCTGATTAAGCACATTCATTTACACTGCAGACTCGCCCTCACCCACTGCAACTTCCCCTGCACTGTTGTTGGGCCTACCCTCTCCATCTAGCAGAGGTGCATAGCCACTAAGCAACTCCGCGTTAAGTTTGTACTTTCCAACCGAGAAAGATCTACCCTGACACTGTGGGCATGAAGTAGGATAGTAGGTGCCCGGCTGGAGCGCTTCAAGGATCTGCGTCATAACAAAGTAAAGATGTATCAAACTAGATTTTGTCAGTCTCCCTCAGTCCGTTGCCAAGGTCGTCTAAAAATACATACAAATTGCAGATGAGAAAATTAGTCCCATACGTGCCCAGCATAATCAGGCTCCTTTCAGCACCCCCGTTCGGGATGAGTACCCAATCTCTGGAAACGTCATAATCAGTCAAAGCCTCTCGATTAGAAGGAGTGGCTTCTTACAAGATCAAACACGCTAGTAGCCCGACACCAAGTAGCAGGTCAAATACCAAATGAATCGGTGTCCCAGTCAATCCACTGGCTTGGCATCCGCACTTCTTCTCGTTCGCAAGCAGTAAGGCGGAGTAAGCGGAGGAAAAGAACAAGGGGAGGATACCGATGGCGGGATTGACGCATTCGGAGAAGATGCCCTGGAGGAGCAGGATGAGGAAGCCGGGTGGGAAGGTGGCAAGCGATATGGCACGGAGGGCGTGGTAGCTTGATTTTGTAAAGATTGTGAGGTTCAACATAGGACCTGCCATGTTGCGTATGATCTAGGAACTCGTTGGGGGCCGTACAGTCGAAAGTATGGAGCGCGTGCGGGTGATTTGTGTAGAGAACGACTGAGCGAGAAGACGATTTGGTTTCTAGGCGTTTACAAAACTTTGGGTTTTTCTCTTTGGAAAGAAAAGCTGAAAACTAAAAATCTGGTGGTGACGGGGAATTAACGTCCTTATATTTCAGTCAGGCAACAGTCGTAGTGTGCTGTTCAACTCGTACTTGGGCGATCGGCAGGGGGCCTTAATGGCAGTGCTGTGGAAAAAGAGCCTGACGCTGCGGGCCGCACATTGGCAAGGCATACGCGTTACGAATAGTGGAACGATCCCATTTACCGAAGAGCCGCAGCGGCCCAAGCACGTGTTTTTAGCGATGTGCTACGGTATCTATTTATGTACGTGTGCGGTTTGAGATTCTCTACACTTTCGGACCCCACCTACGTCAGTAGCACACCCCCGTTGATCCTTGACCTAGAACGAAAAAAAAAATGCCGTTTGGTATCCCTATAATCCTGGCTCATGAAGGCCTTAAATCTGCTTCGTACCACAGATGTGGCAGAGCAGGGCGCAGTCGAGGCTCCAGTGGCGAATATGGAGAATATGGATTGCCTTGCGTGAATTCGTCCCCTGGCACTATCAACACATCTACCTTCCCTTAGCACTCAATTGAATTTCTCTCATTGGAATATCTGCCAGCCAAATTCAGGCCGTTGTTTAGAAATTCCACAGTTCCAAGTGTAGTGTGGATAGAGCCGCGATCGTGCCGGTGTGTGCGGCCGCCTTATTGCTGTTATCCGGGTATCCGCATGTGCATCTGGTATCTGAAAAAATATCCCTCTGGCGTCTTGGGCTACGTCCAACAATCGGTATACGGTCGAAGCGTCGTTTTACGCATCTCGTTCATATCAACGAGCAGTTCTTAAATCCAATACCCAAACTCTTGACAACACCATCCTAGAAATCCTGAATCCCCTTTCAGCCATGGCCACCCGGTTTCTTCAGCGCTCCCCCAAGAATGCTCGGATCCAACATCTTAGTTTCCGGCACCTCAACCCCACACCGCACCCACATACTCTTCCAAAGCGCACCCACCGCCCTCTCTTCCGGCATAAAAACAACAGTATTGATATACGTGCTAGTAGTATTCAAGCAATCCCCCTCATTAAAAAGTGCCGCTTCGCAATTATCCCCTTTGTTCGAGAAAAAAACGCCGCAGCGCGCTTCGCTGGGCAGGTTGATGCAAGTTCCGTTTTTCCATCTTTCCAAAGGAGGCGGGAAGTATGACTTTTTGAGGAGTTTGCCGCGGCAGTGTTTGGGGCCACCGGAGCCGGAGTATGTGAGGGCGAGGATGGGGATCTGCGGGGCTGGCGGAGCGGCGGGTTTGGGGGCTGGGACTCGTGATGGTTTAGGTGTGGGTTTGGGGCCTAAGACGCCTTCGGCGTCCCAGCTGCCACTGCTTTGGGGTTCCGGGGTGAATCCGATGATACCTTCTTGTGTTTCTGTCATGATGGTAGGTACACCTTCTTCCGTCGTAGTGGTGGATACACGCGTTTTCACCAGGGTAGTGGATACGAGGGTTGTGGTCAAAGTAGTGGAACCGAGCGTTTTCGTCAGGACAGTGGAAATGGTGGTTTTTTCGGCGACAGTAGACAGAGAGGTCTTATCCAAAGCAGATGAAATAAGTGTTTCCGCAGAGTCAGTAGACTCCGACGTCCTCGTCATGAGAGTAGATGCAAGCGGCAATCCAGATATAAGGTTGCTCCCATTAAACACATCTCCACGATCAAACTCCGTGCCATTCAGCAGCGCCTTAGCCGCCATCACATCTCCATCATCCGCAACCTGAGCAGCCTGCGCGGAGCTGATTTGTACAATCTGGGGTGATATACCACGAATCTGGATAGCCGTCGCTAGCGACAACGCGATGAACAAAAGAAAAAAAGCCGAAGACGCGATAAGAATCAAGTGCCGAGAAAACAAAGACATTGTGCCATGGACGAAGAAAAAGCTTAAAAAACGAGAGTCTGAGGGATTGAGTGTAATGTTTGTCGGGGTGTGAGGCCGTTGCCAAGCTTCCATCAGGGGTTGTTGCTGTATGGGTTTCATCCCCATGCTCATCTCAAACGCTTTTCAACTAGACCTTCTCAGTACGTATATTGGTGGCAGTACGCTAGTATAGTTTGACGATAACCTGTATGTCTCCGATTAAGATTTTTTCGGTCCAGACCTTGTGATGGAAACATGATCGATGAGTAAATCGTGAACACATGGGAACGATCCTCAGAATGCGTGGTGAACTTTGATTGTATCAGTTCAAAATATTAGAGAAAGTCACAAAGTCCTACTAACCCTCTTCATCCTTACGAAGACTCATCCACCGCCTTCTCCTTCGACCTATCTTGAGGGACTCTAATCACAATCTTTCCCTTTGCCCTTCCCGTCTTCAGCTTCTCAAAAGCCTTGGGCGCATCTTCCCACTCAAACACAGTATCTACAATCGGCTTCAACGAGCCCTGCTTAAGCCACTCGCTCATGTGCCTCAATTGTTCCGCCGATGGCTTAGCCATGATTAACTGAAAGGAACTCTTCCCGCCACCCAGGAAACTCGGCAGAAGCATATTCCCAACCAACGTCTTCGCACCACCCAGGCTAGGTTGCATCCCAACTTGCACAAATTTGCCCTTGGGGAGGAGGAAAGCAGATGACGCTTTGTACAAGTTGTCAGGCGCACCGACGTTGTCTACTACGGTGCTAAAAACCTGGCCTTTAGCAGACAGCGCCTCAATGATATCTGTCGTCTTGTAGTCTATGACTTCGTCTGCACCAAGGCTCTTGCAAAACTCAATATTGAGAGTCGAGCAACTGGTAGTAACATGGCAGCCCAGCGCTTTAGCGATTTGAATGCCAAAGACGCCGGTTCCGCCTGAGCCGCCATTGATAAAGACTTTGTCGCCGCTCTTGACGTTTGGCACAAGGGCCTGGTATCTATACGGGTGTCCGTGTTAATGCATATGTATCGCATTGCGTCATTTCCTGGAAATAAGCAAAAAAAAGACAATTCACAAACTTACTCTGTCAAGCCGACGATGCCTACACCTGCCGCTTCCTCAACTTTCACGCCTTCTGGTAGCACGGCGAGCATGGTACGTTCTACAACTACATATTGAGCGAGGGTTCCGCCGGTCAGCGCACCGACTTTTGCGCCAAAGACGAATTCGCCGATTTGGAACTCGTCGACTTTTCGGCCGACTTTTGCGACTGTGCCACAGAAGTCAGCACCTGGGATGATGTTGGATCCCACAAGTCGAAGGGGCATGGGGCCTTCGGTGACTTTGTAATCGACGGGGTTCAGTGCCATGGCGTGGACTTGGACGAGGATTTGTTCATCGTGGAGGAAGGGTAGTGGTGCGGCCTCGTTGATCTGAAGGTTCTTCTCGATACCGCCGTTCGTACTGTTGTACTGCCAGGCCTTCATTGTGGCAGCCATGTTTGCTGGGCTTTTGGCTGAGATGGAGAAGTTGAGTTGAGCTAAATGCGATTTGCCGCGGCGCTGTCCTGGTTGACTTTATAGCCCGAACCCGATAGAGGTGCGTCACGTCATTTCAATCCAGGGCGGGGTTCGCGGCGGCGCCATTCAGCTGGTATTCCGCCGCTCAATGTGCGCCTCTTTACCAGTGCTGCGTGCACTCGACTCAGGGAGCTATCACCATCACCACAACGATTGGTTTGTTTGTGGAGCAGCTACTATCCAATGAACTGTAAATGGGTCGTTGCGCCTCCTTGAGACTCACTTTCCCTATTCATGCGTAGTTGTGTGCCTACACCCTTGGCAGGTTCTAGGTAGTGACTTTCAGATGACGCAAGATTTACTACTAAAGGAACACAAAATATCTCTTCTTGGTTGCTCATCATGTTTGATGTCTATCGCGAAACTAAGGTGCTGACAGGCGTAAGCCACGCCGAGCACCGTACCTGCAGCCAGCCTATCGACCTATTTTCATATTTGACTACCTCTCAAGAATATTTGATGAACATCTGCTCGATACCAGTAATGTTCCACGTACCAGTAACAGTGTTCAGAGTTAGATTCGTTGGGGTCGTCGGCCCACGCTGCAGCGCGCCGCTCTCAACGTATCCGCCCGCTGCCACAACCGAGCCATTGGTTCTCGCCAGATGGTTAGCGCCCGCCTTGACAGTAAAGTTGGCGAGACTAATGTCGAAAGGATTGCGAGAAGCAACTGAAGGGGAGCCTGTAAAGGATTAGCAAAGTGTGACGATGAAGACGAATAGAGATTGACAACACTACTTACCGTAGTACTGCGCGTTGAGCTCATCAGGTGAGATGAAAAGTTCATAGTATCCTCTGTAATAGCCCTCTGTCCACTGCAGCTCCCTATTGTCACGAACGAGTGCTGCAGAGCGGTCGCTTGAATTTGCAATCGATCTACCGGATCCATAACCGCTGGAGGAGACAGCAGTGCCAGCAAACTCGACTCCAATAGCACCCTCTCCCGTAGCCTGATCGTATGGGGTTTCGTCCAGCCAAACGAGATCAGATACCCAGTTGGCATGTGAATCACCGGCTAAGAATGCAGTGTTTGGAATCTTGTTACTGTAGAGATGGTGTAGAGTACGGTTACGGTTTGCCGTGTAACCCTTATCGAAGTCAGCAACGCTTCCTGGTCATCGTGAAAATCCGATACTTACATCCCACTGGTCAGCATTCAGCCAGTCGCTGTAGACCGCACTATTGTTCATGCGCGAAAATATGATTTGGTTACCGACAATCCTCCAAGTAGCGCCTCGTTCATGCGACTCGGAGAGCCGGTTGTAAAACCAGTTTTCTTGACGACTGCCCATGAGCGAGCGACCAGCGTCGTCCCTGATTTTTTCGATGTAGGCATCGTTCTCGTCCAGGGTTGTAATCGAACGGTCGTAGTTGCGGGTATCGAGGATGATAAGATCAAAGAGTTTGCCCATCTTGAAGTTGCGCCAAATGCGGAGATTATCATCAAGGTCAACCTGGCGGATCCTATGCTCCTTGTTGGTGAGGCAAAAAGACGGCGCGATGTCAGACTTACGGCATCCATTCAAAGTAAGCTCGGACGGCGTTCATTTTCCTTGAATCGACGCTGATACCTCCGTACTTCAAGAAGCTCTCTTCAGTGTTGTTCATATTGCTGCCTATATTAGTAAACAATCTAAGGCAAATCGAAGTCCCTTACCTAAATCCATCACGGTATCCGTTGTTGGCAATTTCTTGAAAAGAGTCAGATGAATACAGTTCACAGAGTAGTGTGACATACCATGGTCATCCCATGTGGGGATCCATGCAAAGTTCTGGTGAGCAAGCTTCAGATCATCATCCGTACGATATTGGCCAATTCTAGTTCGGTAGTCTACTAAATGTATCAGATGCGATCGAAATCTGCCAAAGTATGGGTATTGACCGTATAATGTGACAATCTCGCGTGGCGGATTTGTTGCTCTGGGATCTTGGCCAAGCTTGCCTTTAGTAGACTCGTATATGTAATCACCTAGATGGACCTTGAGTTTTGCATCAGCCAGCTTTACACAAGAAGTGCTAGGTCAGTCCTACAAAGAAGTCTACTTGGTCCTTTCTGGCAGCATTTCCATAAGCGTTGAAATATCCGTTTTGCCAGTTGGAGCAAGAGAAGACTGCAAGACCGACTTTGGAAACATCGTCGTCATGACCAGGGCTGGTTTTGGTCCGACCTAGAGGACTTTTGTTGGAGCTACCGCAGACACTGAATTGATAGTAGTATTGGGTGAACGGCTCCAAGTTCTTGGCTTCAACCTTCATGTAGTCAGCTTCCAAACTAGCGGGAGTGGTGCATGTGAATAACCTTAACAGTGTAGTCGATGTCGGACGTGGTGTATGCTTGCCCTTCGTCAACAACAGTTGAGAAATTTCCGTCTGTACCGACACGATAGTCGACGCAGATGGGATTCGGCGAAGCTTGGATATATTTTTCTGTCTCATGGTTGTAAAGTGCCACATATCCAGAAACAGTGATGTTGGACCTGTCATGTTCGAGAGAGGGTGCAACACGGGTCCAAAGAATGACCGAGTCAGGGTAGGGATCTCCAGAGGCAACGCCATGTGTGAAGTTCAGCTGGGCAGGGCCCCATGGAGCAGAGCGTTTGGAGAGAGTTCTCTTTGCGACCTTGGGTACATCTATTCCAAGATCAATGTGTCGGCGAGAAGGTGAATGGTAGTTTAAGTTGCCGTCAAAGGATGCGCAAACAAGCGAAGCCAACGGAACGGTTGCAAGTAGGACCGAGAGCATCTTGTAAACTCAGGGACTTTGTTTTATCCGACTGGTTTGAAAGTGTATGGGATATCAAGATGTTTATAAACCGTCACTGGCCTTTGACGTCTTCGATACTTGCATACTTGTATGTACGCTTTAGTCCTCGCAGATATGTATGACGATACACTAGGCTCCACACGTTCACGTCGTACATTCAACAAGACCATGACACCGCAGCAGGCCAATCAGAAATGAAGTACTTCCAGCGTGAAATACGGTGCCTGTTGATCGCAATTGCACATGTTGCAACGTGGGACTCTGATTAGTTGAATACGCCATCGCCATATCCAATGGTCTAGCGTGTCATTGATATCCTGCATGTCTTGCCTTTGCAGCATTGCTGCAGGGCACTCGGATGGGCAAGTCGAATCTACGAGCCGCAAGCTTATAGGTAACCGTTGGCGATGACGGGCGGGGCAGATGCAAGCACGCATTGCCCCACGCACGTGTAGGCTAAATGGAGCTTGATTGGCGCTGCTACCATGT